AACATATGCTATTCGATACTGCGCATATACAGAACCTAACCTAATCTAACCTAACCACAAGATCTCGAAAACGTTAAATATCCAGCTCTGAAACCAACTTTAATCGGTTTCTTGTAGTCAATTTAGGTTATATACCGAACCTGAGTTCTTAATTTTGGTGGGGCCATTCGGAAACACAGCTAACAAATAATAAGTATGCCATTGCAGTGTTAATGAAATATTTTATTCATGATACTAATTTTTTTTTTTTTTTTCAAATCACAAGCATATCTTTCCCTGATTCCTCGGTGATCTAGCGATCGTCATCAATTCGACAGAGAACTTGCTAATTTAACAATTAAAACCACTGAATATGTACCCAATAGAAAGATGGTTCACTGAGTAAATTAGTGAAATTTCCAGCAATCCATTGTAACCGTCCTCCTTACACAAGAGGTGGGTGCAATTACGTTATGTGAGAATCAGAAAGAAATGATACGATTCAGAATGATAATGGCAAATGAGTTGACAGAGTCTTCTTATTCAATACGGTGCCGAAGGATCAATTACACAGTTAGAGAGGGACTCGTCGACTAGATTCAGTATGATAACATGGCTGAGCTCGCAGAAACGGGATATAGAGACATCTAGGTAGAATAACCTTCTCGGCCCCAGCTCGCGACGTTCGCTACCGAAAACATATCCGCGGTAACGCGATATATGTATGTACGTCGCTCTCACGCCGCAACGCCAGTTTCGAATTTCAACGGAATTTACGCGGAGAAAATTCTAAAAAATCTTTCTTGCGACGCACAACCGTGTCTCCTTTCCCATTGGCTTGCTTTGACAAATTCTCTGCTCTCGCGGAAACTCACAGAATCCGGTAGATACGAGAAAAGCCTCCAAGTTGCATCTAGGAAAGACGAACAGTTTCGAAAGCGACTCCGGAGCACGGGATACCCGTAGCTCGTAGATAGCTTGCGAATTGTGCAAACACCGCAAGCGTTTACTCTGAACTGAAAGAACGTCTAGTCGCATTGAAGACTCGACAAGTGCCCGTTCTGCGGATCGGCACACACCTCGCTCAGAATTTCCGGCCGCGGAGGGGAACACTTGCGCATGCGCTGTTTATATCAATATCGCGCATGCGCTGTGTCAATATACTAGTGAGGCGATATGCCCGGGCCTCTGCATTATGTCACCGTATTGGCGACCCTGTCGATCGGTTACGCCATATTCAGAGAGTAAGATTTAATCACCATTCCCGCCCAAATTCCATACCGCACTATTATTCTGCAAGCATGCAACGGTCACTGATGAATTAACAATCGGATAACGGATGGCGCGATAGGTGCACGCACTGGATACTGGGTCAAAAGTGATTTAATAGTAAAATTCTTTTTATAAATATCCACAACTAAATTTGTATATTATACCTTTTTATTTTTCAATATTTTAAATTTTAAATTGAATAAGAATTATTGTATTATGGATATCCTTTTGTATCCACCGTAATATTATATGAGGCACTTAGAACCAAAGGGAAGAAAGCGACATTTTTCCTTATTTATTTACAACACTATATTTAATAATTCAACTAACCATTTCTGCACCTAATTCAATAATTTCAAAAAATGTCACTTGCATCCCTTTCTTAGTGCCTAATATGAATCTAAATATGAATCTCCGAATCAAAAAAGTGTCTCTCTATGCTAAAATTAATCAAAATAAAATCTGAATGGCTGAAAAATATAAAAACAAAGAAGCAGGGTATAAAGACCACCCTCCAAGATTGTTGAAAGGAAGAAAAGGAAAATGAATGACTGAGAATTTTCATTGATCAACGAACGAATCCAGTATGTGAATAGATCTGTATCTTATGTACGAGTGTATGTGCATTGGGGTGTGTCTGGGGTAAGGTGTAAATGGTTATGCCTGATCGAAATGAGAGAAGAGGGCGAGGGTGAAATGGAAAGGGAGACAAATCGCTCAGAAAAATGTACATCAACACGAAGCAGAAGCGAGAACATCAGGATGAAAGGTTTGAACACAAAGAACGTGAATAGAGCTGTTGTGAGTCTCGTTCGTGTGAGACGGTTCGATTTGTTAGGATCTTTGGCAGCGACGCGATCAGATTTATCAAAATATCGTCGCCGTTATAGGCGAATGCTCGTCTGCGGCACCTTTTCGAGATTATTTATTGTAGGAGACGATTGAAACGGTTCTTCGTTTTCTGACGGAACTTGAATTATGGGTAATTGTCTACTATTTATCTCTGACTTTTTTCAATGGATATGTTGAAAAGGGTTACTTAAAAACGTAAAATGTGATTAACCCTTAAACAGCAAACCCAAATTTACAAAATATTTACAAGAATCTTAACCACATTCATATATTGGAAGGATAATTTTTAAAGGAACAATGTAAAATTTAGAAAATGAAAATAATATGAAATGTGAAATTAAATTAAAGTTGTGACTCTCTTCATGATCCGCCGTTTGAGGGTTAAAAAATGTGTCGCAAACAATTCCAAGTATTTTTAATATTATATTAAAACTAGACTCGAACCTAACTTAAAAATAAAGCCTTGTGAAGGAGAGGAAGCCAGCTAGTCAATCGCGTGCGAAATAAGAAAAGGAGGGGAAGTTTGAGATTGAAATATTCTTTTCTGATTTTCTCCAGTAGTACATGTCATTTTGATTTGAAAACTTGTTTAGTGTAAAAAGTAGTGTTAATTTCGCTATTTAAAAAAGAAAAATATTATTAAAACTTGTGTTACAAACAGTATTTCGATTACTTTGCGTTACAGATCTACAGTTTTAGGTTAGGTTTACGTTCAGTTTTAATATGGTATTAAAAGTACATAGATTTAGTTGCGACACTTTTTAAAATGATATTCTACTTTTTTAAATAATCCTTTTGAATATATCAAAGTTTGAAAAACATCGGAGATGGCTAGCAAATAATAAATTAATTACCTGAATATAATTATAGTTTTCAGATTGTATTTGCTAACGAAATTTGTTGAATATAAAATCAAATAATGTTCTATTGATCCAGCTACTGCCTTCGAAGGTCAATTACCTACAAAATAAATTTATTTACGTGGCTAAAAATTAAGATTTCATCATTTATTTGTTAATTCTGTGGCTTGGTGCAAAAAGTACCAGTCTCAGTATTTAAAAAATAAAGATATTAACACTAAAAAAGATAGGTTAAAAAATTCATATTCAAATAATTTCCGATCTGTTGTTTCAAATTTATTTTCTAATACCAAAAGAGAAAATTGAAATTCATGTGATTTGTATGTTTCTACAAAAGAAAAAAAACATAAGTTTGTTAAATAAGATTATTTTATGAAAACTTTTTGCTGAATACTCGGTAAGTCAACAAATAGTGCACAGGAAAACTTGTACTGTTCGTTGCAGCTAAGTTGCCGTCCAATCAAATTCGTTGACCTGCTTCCAGTCACACGTATTATGTTTATTGGCTGAGGCCCTTAAGGCTGGTTCAGATACGGTTAATAATTTAGTCGAGTGGGGAGTAGCTACTTACTACTAAACCGTTTAGCGCATAGAAAAATGTCCGAACTAGTACAGTTGAGCTTTGAAAATCGAGAGTACAAGATATATCGCTTGACTAAAGAAATGCGTCCGGACAGGTCTGTTCGAAAGCCTAGTTGGTGGTGGGGGAATCCTACTCGACCAGAAAAATCCAATGAAACGAATCTACTCGACTAAATGGTTTTACTAAACTACTCGACTAAACTGTAGTGTTCATACACTAAACTACTCACCACTCGACTAAATTACTAGCCGTGTCTGAACCAGCCTTTACATCCACAAATCCATCGCGTGACGAACGTCGCCAAGGACAGACATTGAAACAGAATGAGATGAAGCGATAGCAGGCGGCGATTTGGACGCTTTAACGTAGACGTAGATTCGGGGTTTACATTATTAAGAAAACAGGAGAGTTTTTACACTTTCCATAATGTAATTTCCATAAATTTTGCATAATAACAACTATTGTCAAGAACGAGTATTATAAAAAATCCATTAATACGCCGAAAAAATCGCATGTTTATATAGTTAAATGTATCTTCCGCGAATATAGAAATTTTACGCCTATGCAATGTGACCGCTGACTTCTCAAGTTACGGGTTCCTGGAGGGGATTAGGTGGAGCAAACGCACAGTCCCCTTGCCCCCCTGTCGGTTCAGTTTTTTGGTGCTCGGCTACTTAGCTGCAACGAACAGTACTTGTGCGTGAGCACGACAGGAGTGAAGTGGGAGATGACGATCAGTCATGGTGGGGGTCCCACGTTCCACGATTCTGGCGTCATTGCCGCGTACTGTACTGGTATTGTACGAGTACAGTTCCCGGCAAAAGCGCTCGTAACGGAGGGTTTATACGTGCAATAAATTCTCACGACGTGACCGATTATAGTTGACAATGGCAAATAACGATTATAATAGGTGTTAGCACTGGGCTTAACAGATTTTTAAAAATCTTACATTTTTCTGAGCCGAACAAGCATTAGCGTAACTAGGTAAGGGCCAGGACGGCCTTGGCTCCTAAAACTTTGGACTGGCACCTCCCAAAATATGCGGACCTTCACGTTTCTAAAATATTAAAATCCCAAAATTTCAGTATTTCAAAATTTTTTAATTTCTAAGGGACCTGGCCCACCCCCAAAAAAGGTTCAAATTACGCTAATGCAAATCAGAGCGAATGAATATCACGAACAAACGAACGGACGAGCATAGAGTCGAAGCAGTGTGTAATCGTTGGAGTAAGCTGAAAGGAAGGAGAGGCTGGAGGCGATGGAGCAGAAACAAAGGAAAGAAAGGGAGAAGGATGAGGAGGAGGCAAGTAAGAAGGAAAGAACGAAAGGGATAAGAAAGCAGGGAAATAAAAAGAGAGAAAGGCTCCGGCGGGGGCCGCTCGTCCATGAACCGAGGACACTGATCACATCCTCCTTGAACTGATTGGCTCTTTTTCTCGCTTACTGATCCGTAGGTACGTCTTCACGATAGTCAGCTACCTAATCGGTGTCTTCATATTCGCCACTATCGTCGGCCAGGTGGGCAACGTGATCACCAATCGAAACGCGAATCGTCTGGAATTTGAGAGACTTCTAGACGGAGCGAAAACCTACATGAGGCATCATAAAGTTCCCGGCGGCATGAAGAGACGCGTGCTCAGGTGGTACGACTACAGCTGGTCACGTGGAAGGATACAAGGTGGTGGTGATATCAATACCGCTCTAGGATTACTTCCCGACAAACTGAAGACGGAGCTGGCTCTGCACGTGAACCTAGCAGTTTTGAAGAAAGTTACCATCTTTCAGGTGAGCTTTTTTTGGATTTCCTTTTGAACTATTTTGATGGCAGATAATTATACCATCTTAACACTTTAATGAGTGCACGTTCTGTGAACTCTATGACTTTTGCAACTTTACCTTCTTTTTTATTGGGAACATTATTGATAACAGTAGTAGCACAATTGAAAAGAGAGAGGAGTCAAAAGAGTTAGCTGACCCCTCTATCAAATAATTATGGTTGTGCTACTGAATATCATTATGTTCCAAAATTTTATATAATGTATGCTGCAAAATTACTAATTTTCAATTCTAATTAGTATTTGATAGAGTAAAGTGGATTATTAATCTTTAAATTGTAATTAATATTTGATAGAATGCAAAGGTATGTAAAGATAAATGACGTAAAAAGTTAAACATTAAAATCACAAATACGTGATAGAAACTGTTGAAAGATGACGATTCTAATCTCTCAGATCCGCTCTACTACCTTTATGCCATACTAGCATCTCTATCGTGGCATCACTCGTTCTCATAAATGAAAACTTCGAGAATTTGAAGTAATAATTGATGTGGCGAGCAGGTAAGCTCATCTTATAGCCTGAACTCGCCTACTCTCTTCTGGAATACCGCTCGCTATCTAGTGGGTGATTCTCAAACTACATTTCAGCGGTGCAAGAGCGCGTGCGCAGCTGCAGGCGGTAAAAACGCATACGAGACCGGGATTCACATATAAATCACTTTTTTGATAGCATAATAATATTTTAATGGAAAATCGGTCGATTTTATTATTGCTAAACCTTCCGGGGACTATGAAGATGATGTAGTTAAGGCACAAGTTTAGAATATGGGACATGCCCCGCAGGGGTGTATCCTGTATCTTTTTGTAGTTTATCACATAAGGTGTTCATATATGTGGTTCGTAAGTGCCACAAATCTTTTTTTTTGTGACACAATACTTTTTTTTTTTAAAGTAAAATTCCAGCCCTTTCTCATGTGCCCTGCTTAAGAGGGGGGCGCCTCCTATTGTAAACAATAGAGGGGATCATGGGGAACACAGTGGTGGTGGTTTCACTTGTAGGAGGCGTGGAAGTCGGAAGTTATGGGGAGGTAAATGATCAGAACATACAAAATTTGTGAATGAAGCATTGATCTTTTTTTTAACATAATAAACAACCTTTCTTACAACTTTCTCACAACTTTCCTTTTTTTTACACAGTTTTGATGTTCTTCCACAATTGTTCACAAGGATAATTGGGTTAGGTTAGGGTATATCCTATGGGGTGGGGGTGCAGCGCCCCTCCCCCGCCCACGCGTTTGAATCTTCAGTAAAACAAAAAGAAAAAGTTGCAAGAAAGTTGTAAGAAAGGTTGCTTATTATATTAAAAAAGAAGATCAATGCTTCATTCACAAATTTTGAATGTTCTGATCTTTTATCCCACCATAGCTCCTGACTCCAACGCCTCTTACAAGTGAAGCCACCACCACTGTGTCCCCCATGACCCCCTCTATTGTTTACAATAGGAGGCGCCCCCTCTTAAGCAGGGCATAAGAAAAAGGGCTGGAATTTTACTTTAAAAAAAAAAGTATTGTGACACAAAAAAAAATGTGTGGCACTTATGAACCACATATATGGACATCTTATGTGATGAATAAAAAACCTTATGTGATTATGTCTAAAGGTTAATAGGCTTCTTGTCAGTACTACAAATTCACATATAACTCAGGTGAAGTAATGAAAATTAGATGTACTTCAATTAAGAGAAAATTGAGAAGACAGGATACAGGTTTTAACCTTTAGTTATTGTTAATTATAAGGTAGTAGTGTGTATCTATTATATTTTATTTATGGCCGGTATATGATGTGTTAATTTAATAAATTAAAGAAAGATATCCAATATATTGGATAATTTTCTTTAATTTATTCTCAGTACTATATATATATATAATATTTTTTAAATATATACAGAAAAATATATAAGAAAAGGTAATGGTTCGAAATGATCATTTTCTCCCAAAGTGTCTGTAAAATTGACTGGAAAGTCATTTTCGTTGGCTTAGAAATTCGATAATGAAAGATACATCAGCAACCTCTCACAGATCGTTTCAATGATATACCTTCTCCGATCAGAGAAAGTAGGCGGCGAAATAAGAGGATATTTCAACTCCATGAAGACGTACATCTCATACCTTTTTTTCTTTTTCTTTTACTTCCTTTCTTCCCGTCCATTTTTCACCGCTGTACTGACAATGCGCCGAGCCGGTCGATACATACCCGTATGTGACATACAGCACAATTTATATTATAGGGCGTGCCTACTGTTGAGATTTATCCCACGTTTCAGTATTTAACTCTTCATTGTATTCTGTTGCAAATAATAAAAAACTAAATTATAGAAAATATAAGGTTGAAAGTTCTCAATATTAAAAATTTGTAATTCAAATAAGTATCTGAAAAAGATATTTTATTGAGAGCCGAGAAATTTCTTTTCTTTTTTTTGTTAAAATTTAAAAATTTTACAAAGAGTTCGAGTTCTATTAAAGTATCACTCCACGACCACCCCACGTGTTACCCTCACTTATTAACCCTAGTACAACGGAGTCTGAGTCAGGTATGACCCAAGTTTACAAAACAAACAAAAGGATATTAATCTAAAATTGAATGTATAATTTTTAAACGAAAGAGTTCTATGTGCTGTAAAAATAATGTTTAAAGAAACAGTTTAAAATTTAAAAAATGAAAATAGTATGGGAGATAAAATAATTAAAGTTGGACTCTCTCCATGGTCTGCTGTCCGAGGCATATAACAATTAATAATAATGAATTTTTATCTGCGATACTGTAACATAAGATATTAATTAATTTATAATAAAAATAATTTGAAATTTTGAAAGTGGACATAGGGAATAATGGAAAGGTACAAAATAAGAAAAAGTTCAGTGGTAAATTATTTCTACTTTAATTTCTTGAAACAATTAACAAACTAAAGACTTCGGTAAGAAAATTACTCGAATTTCAGTTGGTAAGAACAAGCGCGTGTATCCCTTCGTAGAAACCAATTATTCCCGATGCTCATCTCAGAGGATTTATCTGGCCGGAATGGCATTTTACTGTAGATAAGATCGATGCTGAAATATGAAGCAATTTGAAGATCTCATCTATATTCATTAGTAGCAATTTCAGTTCAATTGGGAATATTCGAACATGAATTCCCGAAACTCTTGTAATAATCTATATATAGGTACACGAATACAGAATTTTTTCGAGAGAAATATCGAGTACATATTCCATGTATAAACGATTTTCATAAAATCGCATATAGTGTGTCCCGATAAACCCTCCAAGCGAGTGCACGAAGTGGCAGATGAAAATCTCATTTTATCATTTTATCATCTTTTATTTCACATTACACGGTGCATCCGATGCATACGAATAAGTAGGAAAGAATAACACGAATAAATAATTGCAAATGAACAATTTGCACGTTACATTATCCAGATAACTGACATTTTCCAATAATTATTAAAAAAAAAAAAAACGGAGAAAGCTTTCAATACTTTGTTGTAAAATTATATATTCTGCTGATTAATCAATAAAAAGTTGAGAAAAAGTAAGAGCAAGTGGCAATAATTAGATAAGAAAAGTTTGAAAAGTTTACTTTATTAACAATAGGAACGAAATCCCACAGCAACTAGTTTGATATAGATGAAGGAAAACTTCTTCCATGATCCAAGATGTTACGGAAATTCTTTGGAAAAGAAAAAGATAAAAAATTGATCTCGTTTTATCGATAAAATTGTTCCGTGATCACGAGATCGCTTTCGGGTGTACAAAGTTTGAAGGATAACTTAAATTCGTGTCTATGATAGAGTCGTAAAACGATCTTAAAGCATTTAAGTTAAATTTGGATAATTTCGTCATATTCTTGTTTATGGTTTCTTGCATGACAAAGCAGGGGGATTATTTTCCAGAACGATGAAAAATTCGACTCACAAAGGAGATTCCAGAAGAGTGAACGACCAAAGGAGGGTTGTTATAAAATTAAATAATTCTGAAGGATCTATTCTGAAAGAACCTCGAAATTTTTTGTTGACGCCTTCGTAGCTTAATTATCCTAATTAATATTTCAAAACATCCTAGAAAAATAACAAAATCATCCAAACATCATTTTGCCCAAATATGTAGATTAAACTATTAATAAATCTCCATAGAACATACAAGGATCCTCTCCATGGTCCGCCACTCGGTCCAAGGGTTAATGTAATTCATGATAACCTAATATTAGCCGAACAAATTAATTCGATGCTTCTACCATTAACACTTTCTTAATAATTATTTTTTTTAAATATTTTTCGGCGCTTCTGTGTATTTGAAAAGTGGCGCAAGAATGTAATAACAATAAAAATTACTTCGATAATTGGAGCTACTATAACTTTTTAAAAATAAATCTTCAACTAAAAAAAGAAAGAAGAAAAGGCACAGAATTAATTCGTACACATAATAAATGCTTGATGTATTTTGATTTGAATTACTTTTACCTTAATTTTTATTAAATAATATTTCATCTTTAATATTAATACCAAATTTTTATCATTAAATTAATTAACAAATTCCCTAAAAATTCATATAACCGACTCATTTCGCACGTTTAATTAAAATTACTAATTTAACATAATGAAATATGTGCATATTTACCAAAAAAAGGTATATATTTTTGCTACATATATCATTGCTGCACGTTGCATATACAACCGAAGTAAATATTGAATAAAAACTTTTTTTATTACATTGTAAATACATGAAAAATGATGCGTAACGTTAACATGAATATCTTGTTAAGTTGATAAAGATTGATTGAAAAATGAAATGGTGTATGATCGTGAACCAATAACTTTTCGAGGCAAACGAACCAAACTGTAAAATCGATTTAACGCGAGCTCTATTCAGCTTCGAGCAATGACAGATCACGAACTCAATCGTTTCGTGCCAGTCACTGATGCAATTAACCTGGGACGTAGATACACGTTTGCTTTTTAATTTGTTTCTCAATTTCATAGCATACTGTAAACCAAAGGTACAGAAAAAGTCACTTGAATAGGATTAATTTCCAGTCTTCTATGTTACTGACATTGATAAATAATAATAGATTGAAAATTGTAATAATTACACATTCAATTAAATGTAATATAATAAAATTCTTATTTTTTTGTTTTATAATTTTGCTATTGTGATATCAATTTATATGGCTAAAATGAACAATTAAATATGCTTTTTATGTTATTAATTTTTTATCAATAACAAAGAGGTTTAAATTTTCGTCGTTGAATATTAAGCTAAAGCAATTTTTTAATAGCAATCTATTTTGAAAGTAAAAAGAAACAGGTTGGTCTAATATTATTTTCTATAAATGTTATAATAAGAAATTTAAACGGTTATTGATAAATATTGGACTACACGTTAGCGTAATCAGAATTTTTCCAGAACGAGCCAAGTTCTTTAAAAATTTGGAAACTCTGAAGTTTTTGAATTTTGAAATTAAAATATTTTTTTTAGTCCCAATAAGACTGAAATAACGTAAAAATGAAAAATTCAAATTTTTTTGAAAAAACAAATGTTTGTCAGATAAGGAAAATCATTATAATATTAATTTCAATAAATATTAAGAAATTTAAATGGTTATAATTAAATATTAAATTAAAAAGCTTCTTTTTAAAAGAGAATATGAGCTACCTTTTTGGCATTTCAAAGAAGGATCAACGCTGTTTTCTATCATTATTCAAATATTTTGAATGTATAAATCTGGGTGAATTCTTATAATAAGAAGATGTTAAATTAGCTGTTAATTTAAGTTACAATTAGAATCAAATTAAACATGCATTTGAAAATTTTCAAATTAACACTGAATTGAAAAAGAAATTTAAGATAAAGTGCTTTTGCAGCAAAGAAATCCGACAAGAATCTTCTCAGTAATCTGAATTGAACGAAAACATCGTTCCTATAGTTTCAAAGAAGGAAATTAGAATTTCAATGAAGATGCAGAAGGGTCTTGAAAGAATCTCCTGCTTTGACACAAATCTATTTTGATGCTAATAGAGTTAAATGTTACAAGAAATTCACCTATTTTATAAATTAAAGTAGAAAATCAAAAGAATTGATATTCAGTAGTTTTCATTTTTTTTCAAAGTTTAATGTTACTCATTGAAATAGGATAAACAGTAGAAGTGTAATTTTGCATTTTATTAAATCTAAACAAAACTGGAATAATAAGAGAAAGTAAACTAATATACATTTTTAAATAATTTTAAACAGTGTATGATGATAATATATATTTTTTTTAAATGCAAGATTAGTGAAAATTATTAGGTGTACAAACTAATTCGATACTTCTGGTATTATGTCTACTTAGTTACTTCTTAATTAAATATGAATATTTTCTCGTGCTTCTGTGTATCTGAAAAATTGCCCGAAAATATGATAGTAAACATTACTTGAATAATTGAAGTCATCATGGCTTTTTAAAAATAAATCTTCAATTTAAAAATGGGAAGGGGGCGGGGGGTATAAAATTAATTTCTACACCTAATGTAATTATAATTTTGTGCACACACTGATATGATTATTTGTAATAATATTATATAATCTCAAGAGTAGAAGTGAATTGAACGATAGAGAACAAAAAAAAGGTAAAAGATAAAATTTTGTAAAATCAATTAAAGTATGAATTTTAAATAATTTATTGATCAGTATACGGAATTGAGTATTTTAAGGTAATTAATAAAAAAGGGAAAATAATTAATTATTGAATTTGCATTTCTTTGTTTTATTAATTATTACATTTACTATTAATTATTGAAATGGATGTATAACTAAAAAAAATTTCACTATTATAATATCAGTAATAGAAATAATCTTTAAAACAGTTATGAATATATTTAGTGAAACAATTAACTCTTTTACCACAAATAACGCCTGCTGATGTCATTTATATTAAGTATCTTATTTTTGCTTAAATATAAATAGAAAATAATCAATAAGAAATTGATTAACATATACTTGTTTGCTCCTGTCCTATATATTTAAGCTTTTGTCATTTTTAAATATACTTCGTGCGTTGGTTGCAAAAGAAGGAATGATTTTATATCCCTCTTGTACTCGGTAACAGTCTTTTCACATACATCCACTTTAAAGTTTGATAAAATTTTAATCAACGCTACCTTGGATTGAATCTTAGCAAACCTTGCGCCTAAAAAAAAATTAGATCAAATTTACTTTAGAACTTTTTAATTTATGATCGAATCCTAATTCTACAATATCTTACCAATGCAATTTCTTGGGCCATCTCCGAATGGCATATAAAACATTGGATGTCTGCCCTTAGCATTATCGTCAAGAAATCTGTTAGGATCAAAGACTTCCGGTTCTGGAAAAATATCTGGATCATTCTGAATAGCATCAACGGGCACGACTACGTGTTGACCCTTCGGAATGGTGACTTTTGTACCCGAAAACGTGTAATTAGTCATTGCTGTTCTGGATAACCATAATACTACCGGATATTTTCGTAATGTTTCTATAAAAAAAACGATTAGTCAATGTATGCACATATTAATTTGTTAAAGAGTGTATTCAAAAACTAAACGCAAATGGTATACCTTGGAGGACTGCGTCCAAATATTTCATTTCCTTTATATTATCATATGTGATCTCTCCATTACTACGTTGTAAAACATCCTTAATTTCTGATCGAAGAGTGTCTTGAATCGAATGATTATATGCTAGCTCGTATAAAGCATGAGTGATCGTTACAGAGGAAGTTTCGAAACCAGCAGCAAAGAAGACAAAGGATTGTGCAGCCAAGAAACTGTCACTCAATTCTGTGCAAGGAAATGAAATTATGTTTGAAAAAAATATATAAAGCATCACAAAAAATGCAGTCTATCTTACAGCAGTTAATAGGTAAGTTACACAAGCCTGTAGGATTTTTATTTAACCCTTTGACTACTATGGACGCAGATATGCTTCTTATACATCCTAATTATAATCAAATAAAAGTTATTAACTCATATTACTAATTACACACCGTATGTTATCAGATTACAATGATGAGAAAAATACTGATAAAGAAAACAAAAAATGAAAAGATAAACTGTTGTGTCAAAGATAAAGTGGTAAGTGTTATTGATCGTTCAAGCTTAAATTATTCGGCAGTCAAAGTTAACTTTTTCCGTCTATTTTACAAGTGCTATCTCTTTTCAAAAAATTGCTCGCACGGACGCTCGAGTGTCATCAGATTTGTTACAGGCATCGATGTCTGTGTTGGTGCGATTTATCGATCAGCGATCGGTAATGGAGGAGGTATGTAAAGTATTTCCCGTTTATTATTCGGTTTTCTGCCCCGGTTATTATTCGCTGAGTCATCCCTGGCCACTTCTTGAAATTGCCGCCGCCGAACGAGCGCATTTCGTTTATTTTAAATCTGTTTAACTCGACTCGTAATCTCTCTGGCTCGCTCTTTGAGACAAGCGAGTCGACGAGAGCAGTTTTCAAAACACCTACCTCCCCGGATAATATTCATTGCGCGGACCCGATCGAGCAAACAATAAGCGAAGAATACTATAAAACGAAAGCAACCTCTCTACTTAAGGCGATGCAAGCGTTGAAAACTTGACCGACGGTCTCTAGAAAAATCCCTAGAAACGAGAACACACCTTTTTTCAGTCGTAATGCGTGCAGTCGGGTAGCCCGACTATTTCGGGTCAGGTCGGAAGAAGTCGGGCGGACTCGGGCAGGTTTCCGGACCATACGAATGTTCGGGTAGCCCGGCAACACTTTGGAACGAACCTGCTCGACTTCTTTCGAGCGAGCCAGAAAATCGGATACCCGAGTATTATAGTTTGGAAACCTGCCCAAGTCTACCCTACTCGTAATTTCGAGTACCCGCACACTCCCAACGACTCTAGCCCGAAACAACTACGCACCTCGAGCCCGTAACGGCGCATGCGTGAAAATACTGTCCATACACCAGAAGAAGGCACAGCTCCATTAAGCTTAAAAGTCACAGGGCCAAGGGGAATCGTGCGTTCGCACCGCCTGACGAAATACGCGAACGAAACTAAATGCGACAAAGTAAGACAGGGATATCGAGTATCCCTGGTGGCAGCGGAATTATTTATTTATTTACTTAGGAACTGCAGAACGGGTTTGAAACCCCACAAGGCTGCAATTTCACAATAACCTGTCCATGCACACTAAATTACTAAATCACTCGCCATTCGACTAAATTACTAGCCGTGTCTGAACCAGCCTTAAGATACAGTGAGCATAGTACAGTAAAACCTGGATAAATGCAACGAAAGAATGCTTGGATAAGTGCAACATCGCTATCCCCTCCACTTGGGGGGATCCCCCTAGACGAACCGAGCCGCTCGACGAGAAAACCATGTAATATGATCCGACCGTAATATCGGTGTGACTAATACTAATTGAACGATAAAACTTTTTTATTTTTAACTTTTTCTTAATGAAACTTTTACTAACGCATTTGTGAGATTTTTCTGATTAAAATGACACCAAACATGATATAGTTTGAATTATATTTATAAACAATAGTAATAGAATAAACAACATAGAATTGACACCACGACTGAATATAAATGATGTCGGCTGAATACAGAAGATGTGTACGGACACAGAATCGGCATGTCGGCTAAATACAAAACATGTGTACGGACGCAGAATCGACACCTCGCTTGGATAAATGCAACATTAAATGCCCAGAATCGACACCTCGCTTGGATAAATGCAACATTAAATGCCCAGAATCGACACCTCGCTTGGATAAATGCAACATTAAATGCCCAGAATCGACACCACGCTTGGATAAATGCAACATTAAATGCCCAGAATCGCCACCTTGCCTGGATAAATGAAACCTTTGAAACCAGAGCCAACACCGCGACTGGTTTTGATTTCGATCTCTGTTGCTTTTCGCCAACCTTTAACATCAATTTTAGCAAGTAATTATAATTGAAACTATATCGTGTTTGGTACCATTTTAATCAGAAAAATTTCACCAATGCGTTAGTAAAAGTTTCAATAAAAAAAAGTCAAAAATAAAAAAGTTTTATAGTTGAATTAGTATTAGTCACACCGATATGTTTCGGCTCTTTCCTTTCATCATCGGACCTCTCTCTTTCCGCCACTGTCTGTCCCTTTCTACGTTCACGCTTGGCTGGTCGTCGCGTGTAACTCGAGATTCGACATCTCGCTTGGATAAATGCAACCACTGGGCCCCAATCTTGGTTGCATTTATCCAGGTTTTACTGTATGCACATACGTTTATCACTAATGTTTCCAGGATTCTTCTTCAGATCTACCAAAGTCTCAATGAAATCATGTCTATGAAAATTGTGCTTTATCCTATAATCTATACTCTCTTTGGTGATTCTTATGAAAAAGTTATCGACTTCAGAATCGAGGAGGAATCGTCCGAAGATGTTAAATAGCAATGGATATTCCCTCAATCTATCCTTCGTGACAGTTTTCACGTTTGTTTTGAAGATTTCTCTGCCCATTTTACGGAATTCGCTGTCTTCTGCTGCTAACGCGTTCATTTCTATCCCGAACGCACAGGAACCGATCACATCGGTAGTATATTTTGCAGATATCTCACGGGTGGCGATATATTCGCCCTTCTCAACCAGTTTCTTCAAGTACTCTTCAAAATGATTTCCACATTCTACCAGTAAACCGAACATTTCTTTCAGTTTTCCTGAAGTGAAAACAGGCGAGAGTCGGGCTCTTAAAGGCTTCCATCTTTTTGCTTCAAGACTGAACAGGTGTACTGATAATGGCTCGAGCTGTAAACATATAACATAGATATCACGGTTGATATCAGCATTACATGTAAGGTGTCCAATTTTAATTCATAACTGTGAATCACACAAAAATTGAATAATTTCAATAGGGAGATTATTTATATAAATAATAATTTAATTTATATAAATAACTTTGTTATCAAATGGTATTGTGGTATTTATATCAAGAACTATTTATGCCTTAATAATAAATTAAGCTTTAATTTATGATGCCCTTAATTTAATTGATCTATTGAGTACCACTGTTATGTATGTTAAATTCTTCCGTTCTTATTAAAGATAAAAGTATTATCTAAATATTGAAAATCTTGAGAAGGGGACTAAAGCATTTAGACTTTCTGTCACTTTTGTATAGGCCAGACGGTAAGTGTTTAATGGGTCAAAATTTCAACGAATGGCCAAAAATTTTTTTTTTTTCGTCACTTCAAAATAAGTTAATGAAAAGTTTTAGTTTACTTCCAAGGGTTGGCTTTAGAGCGAATCTCGCTCTACTTTTACCTAGTTTAATTGTGGTTGTCTAATTATATTTGATGCTCTACATGTTTAATTTATCATTATTAATGTTATATCTTAGTGTTATAACTTTATTTTTCTCCAAAGTAACGCTGTCTCATATCACTACCAGAATTTCTATTAGCCCGAATTTGCTATCAACTAGAAAAATTGAAAAAAACGGAAGTTTCGTAAAGTCTATTATATTTATATTTATACAGCACATTCTCTATAAAATTTCCCAAATTTCTATGTTGGATTTTTCTATTTATATCGATTTTTCTATTCTGAAACTCTCTGCAACTAAAAATAAAATAGATATCCGATATTCGTATCCTCTCCATTATAGGAATCTGGACCTATCACACACGTAGAAAAATTTGAATTGATAATTATCTACTATTCGTGTTTCTGAATTTTACACTAAATTTTACAATATTTAATAATTAAAAATTATATTATCTTTTTCCTAAATTACCTTTAATACTAACTCTTGAACAGCGGAGTCTGGGTCAATCGCGTTCCAAATTTACAAAATATATAGGTAAAAATTTTGTCAAATTTAGAAACTAAAAATAATGTGAAACAGAAAATGAAATTGAAACTGTGTCTTGCGCCAAGGGTTAATACTGTGAAAATGAAGATTTTGGGAATTCCTACTTCTCCTATATTGCCATTTTCTGCAGGAAAGCCTGATTTTATCGCGAATAAGTTAAACCTATTTTATCACAACATACCTCATTAGGAACAGTTATCCTATTAACGAACGTTGAAAAGTCTTTAATAAGAACATCCTTTATTAAATCCGGGTCCCTTATAATTAAATGTGGGATGTGGCCACCAAATACTCCGACCATCGGTTCATCTTTGAACTGGTAGTAAGCTTTCACGAAACAATCATTCACTGAACTCCTTCCAAGAAACACGTTCGTAAAGTTGCCCAAAAATGGAATAGGTTTTGGTCCTTTCACGCCTCGTTTCTGCCAGAACTCCAAAACCGATGTAGAATAATAATACAGCAGAATCAGTATTCCAACAAAAAATCCAACAGTCTCAAACATTGACCAAGACATAGTTATAAATTCAATTTCAGTATTGAGTTGACTAAAACACTTCTACTTGTCACGCTGCTCTATTTTGTAGTGTTCAACGGTCTGGAGTGAAATGTGTATTAGCTTCCACATTATCGCTTCCCATATTCTATCAGCTGACCTGATAGCATGATCTGCAATTTCTTGATATAACCTTCTTGTTTATCAGGATGACTTTTAAGAAACTGTTTATAGATCTACGTACTCTTAATTTACTCTTAAAAATTATCTCGTTCCTTTACTGTCATGTCACTGTTTGCCGTAACAAACAATTGTTAGAATCATTCAATTTAAGCTGTGTATAATTTCATCCCCCTTGCACTCTCACTTGTACTCTTAATACTCTTGATTTTAATATATGCTTAGCTTTTAAAGCCATTATTCTTTTCTACAGTGGTAAATGTTCGGAAGTGTCACTCCTGTCAGAATCGAGCTGATTTTTTTTTGTGTGGTTTCTTACAGTTAAAAAACATCATATTTAATATTATTATGGCAGCGCATCAACAAAAACAATGTCAATAAATATTTTCTTAAAGATTTTTATTCGTCGATCTTTCGAACTTTTTTTCAAGATTTCTAGACGAAATATTTTGTTCTTTTAAAATACAATAGACATACAAACTATTTTGACAATTCTTCATTATAAAATTGCTGAATAGCATCGAAGATGGCATGTACGCGTTCACTGTATATAACCAGCCATGTGGTAATCACGTCGTCCGAATTTTGAGATATTACCACGACAATTCCAGATGTAAACAAAACACAAAACATCCCACACGAGTTGAACAGTAACATATTAAATTCGTTTTGCTGACTGGGGGACACAGCCCCCCAGACCCCCCCTAATAGCTACACTAACTAATACCGATAAATGTTACTTTGTAAACTGTGTTTATTATTTCCTTATATTAAAAATGGGTATCGGTATTAGTTAGTGTAGTATTTAGGGGGGGGGGGGGGGGGGTCTGGGGGGCTCAACCCCCCAGTCAGCGAAACGAATTAAATATGTTACTGTTCAACTCGTGGGGGATAAAAAAAAAATCTTTAAAAAAATATTTATTGACATTGTTTTTATTGATGCGCTGTCATAATAATATTAAATATGGTGTTTTTTAACTGTAAGAAACCACACAAAAAAAAATCAGCTCGATTCTGACAGGAATGACAATTCCGAACATTTACCTCTACAGTTTATTTATTTTATCAGAAATTACTTACAAATTAATAACTTTAAAACGTATGTGGAATGAAATTTTCAAACATAACTTCATTAATAATTTTCAGATAAGTATCACATTGTAGAGATGAAAGGAACATACAATGACAGAAGTTATGTATTTTTATTCGTAATCCAATAATGTAGATACCATTGACGCAACTAGATAGTGGCCTGGGTGAACTTACTTCGCCCGCCCCCCTTATATCTAAATGTGAAAGTGATCTTATCATCATTTTCAAATTTATAGATTGTAAAATTCAAAAATTTCAGATTACCTAAATTCCCGAAATTTCAGAATTTCAAAATTCCCAAATTTTTTAAAGTTTCAGATTTCTAAAACTTCTAAAATTTTAGAATCCCAAAATTTCAATATTTGAATGCTTTAAAATGTCTGTGAGACCTGTCTCAGCCCCCAAAAAATCCTAGTTATGCCAATGGTAGTTACTGAAGTATATTTAGATATCACACTGCAAAAATATAAAATAAACATACAATTGTCAGCGTTATGTATTTTTATTATTAATCTGATAATGTAATTACATACTTACCTTCATTTGATAACTACAGATACTGAAGTCTAATGTGTTTATTTGAGTCACTATAACCCAATGCTTGCAATTTAGTCGACAAACAAAGATTATAAACGAAGAAATATGTAAACTTGATGATTTTGCAAATAGGCAGCCAGCAAGAAAGCTTTGATATAACATCATCAAAACAAATTAAAAGAAGTGTCTCTAACTCATTATCAGTTAAGCACGTGTATTGATGTTTATATTTGTCTAACTCCATTGAACTGGTAGTTTTAATCTCAGACAACAAATATTGATACTGTTGTACAGAATGAGTTTTAAATTCTACTGTAAATGCTACCTAGATTGATAGCATTGATAAAATTCATGATCCGTAAGTACTGAATATATTAAACTATCAGGATTGGTTCTACAAATTTCATCTCGAAGATAAGGTACGTTAATTAAATAATCAAATTATTGGAATTTATAACTGTTTAAAATTTACTATGTGTGAAATTTCATCAATTACATATAGAATATTCCACATATTGAGGGGGGGGGGGCAATCCTGTAAAACTGAACAACCAGTAATTTGTAGGATAAAATTTTGAAAATATATATTTTTATAGCATTTTTTACGTAAGAAGAAAAATTTGTTTCAAAAAAAAATCATCGGAGCGTGAAATCCATACCTTTATTTTTTCAATGCTGTGAACATGAACTGCAAAAAAAATTTCAGCTCAAAAACTTCATTTTTGTGGAAATTATAACGCTTTTTATATTGCTATGTTATTTAAAATGCTTTTCTGCTGCGTTCGTTGAACCTTTTTCTTCTTGTAAACCGTGTTCTCTTGATAATTGTGTGCTGTTCAAATAATTTTTCTAGCACGCTTATAACGTTCCGAAATTTTATCGCATGTTTCAATGATTTTCAATGACTGTCTGCTTATTTCTATTGCGTTATCTTTGAATGAGTATAATATTGGTGTTGGTGCATCTGTTATTATATTCATTGTGCAACTGATACCTTGTGTAACTGAAGATCCTACATGATGTTTTGATGAGAATAAATCTTTTCGATAGTTACGCCATATCATGCTGTGTAAGCTTTTATTCGCATTTTAAGTTAGACATCGTACACACAGACGAAGCAAATTTTCATTGCTTATTTTATTTAGAACCAACTTCTTTAGCTCTTGCAATAGCCAACAGCAGATTAAAAAAAGCACCAAGAATTTTCACCTGCTGAACATTTATCATATTATGATTTTTTATGCGTTGAAATTGAATGGTATATTGTAGCGTATATGACACATTTCATAGCTTTTATTTCGCAATATAGCTTTTTTATAATGTAGGATGTCGGTGGAAAATTTATGGCTTTTTGTCGGGCACCGTCCACTAGATTCGTCAGTGGGGCTGACGTAGACGGTCCCTGTCCCAGACGCCTGGGTTCTACATACAGGGTGATTCTCTCACTACGCAAGACAAAAGCCGTGCCGCACAATAGAATCCCTCCCTACTGTTCTGTTTCTTGTCTTCGTCTTAGCCATAAACACACACAAAGCAGTTTTGGGTCCGGCGATATGGCCCCTAGATCTTTTTACCCGCAAAAACAGCAAGGTTCGATTGTGCGGTACGGCTTTTGTCTTGCGTAGCGAGAGAATCACCCTGTATATTCTCAGATCTTATACAGTGTGATTCTCTCGGCGCACAACACAATAGCCGTCCCGCACAATGGAACCCTGCGGTTGTTGCGGGTAAAGAGACCCAGGGGCCATATCGCCGGACCCAAGACTGCTCTGTGTGTGTTTATGGCTGAGACGAAGACAAGAAACGGAACAGCAGGGGGTTCCATTGTACGGCACGGCTATTGTGTTGCGCGCCGAGAGAATCACCCTGTACATGTACAGGGTGATCCTCTCACAGCCGGACACACAGGGAACACTGGCGACAAAGAACCCCTTGACCGCCCCATCAAGAGGTCCGCATTGTCACGTGCCAGCGGGGACCTACCCGGGCCGAGACGACTTTGTGTGTCTTCATGGTGCGGTCAAGGGGTTCATTGTCGCCAGTTCCTTGGTGTCCGGCTGCGAGAGGATCACCCTATATATATCGACAAGCGCCGTGATGGAGCACTTGCGAGAAAGGATGGAGTGTTACTCGCGCGACACCTTGCGGCCATCACGGGAAAGAGAGGCCCAAAGCACCTGAGGCGCTATGCTTCACTTATAACCCCCACAATAATAATCTGCTAATTTTCTAAGTGTAACATCTTTTAGTCTACCGTGTCCTTTACCGCCTAAAGAAACGCTTTTTTTACGTTCCTCTTTTACTAAATCAGTGAAAGCTCTCCCTAGCAATAGAAATAAGCAAACAACCATTGAAAATGATACAAAATCATAATAGAAAAGACTTTACAGGAAGAAGAAGATTCAATATATGCAACAGGAACATTTCAGGTAACATGGCAATATAAAAAACGTTATAACTTCCACAAAAATAAAGGTTCTGAGCTGAACATTTTTTTGCAGCATATGTTCAGGGCACTGAAAAAGTAAGGTTATGGATTTCACGCTCCGATACGTAAAAAAAAGGTTACAGATTAATTTCTGCGTATTTGAATTCTGCGTAAAAAATGCTATAAAAATACGTATTTTCAAAATTGTATCCTACAAATTTTGTTCATTTTTACAGGATCCCCCCTTCACTTAATAAGATACTAGGAAAGATCCTTAATTATCTTCTTCTTTGTAAAGGTACAAAAAGTGCTTCGTGGGAAATTGTATTTCAGGAACGATCTGTTGCATAATATCTAATTGCAGAACTTGTTGACCTACAGTAGACTCTTGTTACATTGCCACAGACGACAATTTTCCACTTCCAAAGAAGTGAAAAATTTGTCAAGCTTCTAAACTCTCGTTTAGAGGGGAAGACTATATTTACAACTACATATCTACTGTATTTACAAATTGTGTATGTACAAATGATTCGCAGAATTTCACAGCCCCCTGCGGCTCTTCTTCCTTGTCGTGACAATCATAGCGTTACACATCTGTGTATGTACATATTACATTGTCTGCGATAAACTATTATAGTAGAGGGGAGAAAAAGGTGTTTCGTCTTGGGATTATCTGCCAGACTCGTCAGTGGGGCTGACAACAGACGATCCCTGCCTCAGACACGTATAACACCGTTGTTCGGAACTCCTATAGAATCGTATGCCGGGGCACCACCAGCGAGAAAAGACCCCCCCCCCTCAGTTGTAGGGTCGAGTTCTTCACTTTCATCGAACAGATCTGTTTCGCTTTCATCGAATCTTTACTGCACTGTTAATCTTCGGACGGCGAACCATGGAGACCCTCAATTTTTATTTTTTGCACTTCATATTATTTTCCATTTTTTAATTTTATACTGTTCATTTAAAAATTATTCTTTCAACATATGAAACTCTTTCGTTTAAAAATTATATATTTAACTTTAGGTTAATATCCTTGTATACATTTTGTAAGTTTGGATATCGATTAACCCAGGCGTCGTTGTTCAAGGGTTAATTGGTTAAGAATAATGTAACTATAATAACTATGTATTCTATTTCATATACCTCCAATATATGAAGTCCCTAAAACAAATTTTCAAATCTACCGCAGCTTAGTGCTAAATGATTCCTCTTACTCTATGCTTAAATCTTTGTCATTTTTAGATATATTCCATGCCCTGGTTGCAAAAGCATCAGTGATTTTGGATCTCTGTTGTACTTAGAAGTCTTCTCACATGGATCTACTTTAAAATTTGATAAAATTTTGATCATCGCTACCTTGGTTTGAATCTTAGCAAACCTTGCGCCTAAAAAAAAAGTAAATTACATTTATTTTAGAACTTTTTAATTCATATTTGAATTCTAATTAAACAATATCTTACCAATGCAATTTCTTGGGCCATCTCCGAACGGTATATAAAACATTGGATGTCTGCCCTTAGCATTATCGTCAAGAAATCTGTTAGGATCAAAGACTTCCGGTTCTGGAAAAATATCTGGATCATTCTGAATAGCATCAACGGGCACGACTACGTGTTGACCCTTCGGAATGGTGACTTTTGTACCCGAAAACGTGTAATTAGTCATTGCTGTTCTGGATAACCATAATACTACCGGATATTTTCGTAATGTTTCTATAAAAGACGATAAACATAAATGGTGACGAACCGATACTGTTCGCACCGCGTCGCGACTAACCGCCAATTTTGTAAATATTATACAATTGCCTCGAAATAAGCAACTCGCTACCCGCTCTTCTTTGTTTGAAGTGGCCCGCAAAGTGAGAGGTCCGAGAAACGAGTGAAAGATCCGTTTGCCGCTACCTTAGATCTCTTACTCGTTTCTACGAGTGACGTATCTTGACGATCTCTCATTCGTCAAGCCGATTAGCATATAGCGGAGTTCACCAGAGTCCATAACTGCGACGCGCAGGTTGAAAGATGGTGGGGGAACGCAGCGAGCTCTCCGCTAATCGCTTTCTACTTCGTTTGGGAGTACCACCAATCAGGGCGAAGATGCGCACGAAAGAACGAAAACTGGTCTTTTCGTAGTTATGGACTCTGGTGAACTCCGCTCTACCTGCTTCGTAATAAGCAATGTTCTGTCCCGAGCGAGTTGCTTATTTCGAGGTAATATTCCTTTCTGAGGTTGTAAAGCTCGGAGTAGCCATCAATGACCAACAGTTCGTCGGGACGCGTTGTCTCGCGAAATTAATTTTGACAGCAGTATATGGTATCGAACGTTAAGTTGTGGAACGATAATACGAAACGTTGTCGTTGGCCGAATTGAATTGAGTGACGCGCCGTCGCGTCGTCCTCGCCTTCTCGATTTTTGGTGTCCGGAGAAAACACGCTGATTGGTTTCACACGAGAAGTTAATTTACCAATCAGCGTGTTTCTTGGTATTGCAACCGCCCTTCCTTGCGCCCTTAGCGCGACTTCGTCTGAAGAGGATGGGGCAATACCTAAACGTACGTAAGGACTTCGAAAGTTCGGTATTGCCGCGGTTTTTCCATCGAGATTGATCCTCGAAGGCCAAGCACCGCTAGTCGATCATTTTCGAACTTACCCTTCGAAAGACCAAGTTTATGATTGTGGCTATTGAAAACGAAGCGAAAATTGAAAATTCTAAGTGCATGGTACGAAAAAGGGAAATTACTATTGCCGGCATTACTAAAAATTTTGAAACTCAAAAATCGCTATTTTCCTCGAGAAAACGTCATAAACTGTCTTACGAAATGCTTCTAAACGTGTTCCTTGGTACGGAACAATGACCATTAGTCAATATATGCACATATTAATTTAAGCAATAAACTAAATGCAAAATCTATACATACCTTTAAAGACTGCATCTAAATATTTCAGTTCACTTATACTGTCATATGTGATCTCTCCATTGTTGCGTTTTAGAACATCCTTAATTTCTGCTCGAACTGTGTCTTGAATCGACTGATTAAATGCTAACTCGTATAAAGCATGAGTGATAGTTAACGAAGAAGTTTCGAAACCAGCAATAAAGAAGACGAAGGCTTGTGCAGCCAAGAAGGCGTCGCTCAACTCTACAAATAAATGAAATTATGTTTTAAAGGAAGGATGTAAAATGTTGCAAGAAATTTAGCTTATCTATCAGTTGCTAATAAGTAAATTACTAAGGCCTGCAATGTAACCCTTTGATTGCGACGCACCCCCCACGGAACAAGCCACATATACGGCGCGATGCCCGCTATAAGTGGCTGTCGCACATCATTATGTTTATTGACCAAAATGCACATTCAAAATATCAAAACAGTTGCAGATATTTAACTATTTGCAGTTACTATGTTACATAAAATAATACATTCTGTGTTGGATCAATTTAGTAAAACAGTAAATGTGTTATGCAGGGTGTTTTTTTAAGTATGGTAGAAGTTTGAATTTTTATAAATATTACAATAATTAAACTTTTCAACAAAAATTTTTTTTTAATTACTCGAATTTTTAAACGTTAATTACTAAAAGCAAAGCCGCAAACGTTATTTCGTCATTCTTGATTTTCATCTTATTTTGATCCCTAGAATCACCCCTTAAAAAATCTCCCACCTGTTGTAGAACACCCTGTATATTAATAGAAATGTGAAGCGTATAAATACGCCTTTCGTATATATTAATTGATCTATGAGAGCGTAAATATACGTCTTTCGTAGTCAAAGGGATAAGGACTTACGTTTATCACTAATATCTCCAGGATCCTTTCTCATGTTTACCAAAGTCTCAATGAAATCATGTCTATGAAAATTGTGCTTTATCCTATAATCTATACTTTCTTTGGTGATTCTTATGAAAAAGTCATCGACTTCAGAATCGAGAAGGAATCGTCCGAAGATCTTAAATAGGAACGGATATTCCCGCAGTCTGTCTTTAATAACAGATTTCACACTTGTTCGGACTGTTATACACCCTAATATTTACAGTTACTCATTCCGTGCCTCATCCAAAACTTTATCTCTTTCCAAATCACTCCACTATTACTCACTTCCGAACTTTCACCTCCTAAACTCTCCTTTCTTTTCCCCTATCTTGCCATAGCTCAAAGTTCACCTTCCGAAACCCTTAAAAGGACTGGAAACTCCGTGCGCGACCAGTCTTCATTTTTGTAACCGCTCTGTATGAATAAAAAGTTACTGTTCTCCACGAATGGTCGATCTTTAATTGAATATTACTAAGTGATACCCTAAATCCCTAAATTCAATATCGAGGTATTGAAGGAAAACGGGCATCACAGGACGATTGCTCTGCCCATTTTACGAAATTCGCTGTCTTCTACTGCTAACGCGTTCATTTCTATCCCGAACCCACAGGAACCGATCACATCGGTAGTATATTTTGCAGATATCTCACGGGTCGCAATATATTCGCTCTTCTCAACCAGTTTCTTTAAGTACTCTTCAAAATGATTTCCACATTCTACCAGTAAACCGAACATTTCTTTCAGCTTTCCTGAAGTGAAAACAGGCGAGAGACGGGCTCTTAAGGGTTTCCATCTTTTTGCTTCAATGCTGAATAGTTCATCTGCTAATGGTTCAACCTGTAAAATATAACGTAGATATATTAGTGCCTGTATAGTGTATGTACAAAAGATCGTTAGAAAGAAATTCAGTTCTTTCGGAGGGAACATAATTTGGTGTAATTGGTTTTGCTGTACGTGTGGCTTTCTATTTTCTATCATTTGTATGAAAAAACCATTAGATTAGAAATTGATTATTTCTCATCAACATGTTGACACAACGCAGCAATTGTGCCTGATATAATAGTGCAAGTGCAAGCTTATGAAATGCAGATTCTCATTTTGGCTGAACTTTACTTTAGGGTACCCAAAATTTTGGACCATTTCTCTTTAATTTATAGTTTTTGATGTGTTAACTTTAGGAATCCAGTGGTTAAAAAGTTATGAGCGTGTAAAGTTTGACACTTTCAGTGCATTTGAAATACAGCTAATGAATACCTACTATTTGCACTTTAATGTGTTCAAATATCTTAAATAGTTTCCGAGAAAAAAAATAGTAAAGTTTTGGGATTTTACTCTCATATCTCCTTTATCAGAGAGGGTAGGGGGTTGAAATTGCACACAATTGTTGTTTAGGTAAAGAGCATTATGTGGTATAAATATTAACCGAAATTGTTGCTGGGGCCGATTCACTATGCTTATACGGCTAGACCCTTTGATACTGGCTTAGTTAGTTAGGTTTATACATATTTACCTTAGAGAGAGAGGGTACAGCCCATGCATTTGCTTATTGCTTCTACTGTATCAATTTTATGAGTAATTTAAATTCAGCTAGTGATGGAACCCATATCCAAAAGAAAGTGATGTCCCCTAAAGTAAAGTTTAACCCTCATTTTACTTACATAAATACATACATATATTACACGGTATATGTTCATACAATATATTCCTTGTGCAAACTGTTATAACTGTTACGATATAAAAATTAGTTTTATTTATATTAAACAAAAAATGTATACGGGGTAAAATAGATGTTACAGAATTAAATGTTAACAAATGACGCTTTAACACTGAAAGTGATTGTGAAAATAAATTTCCCAGTAGAAAAAGAATAAAGGGTGTTCAATATAATATTTATAGTTCTTCATCGGATATACCTAATTATTTTGTTTTAAAATAAAATTCAAACTACTTTCCTGAGAAATCAATTTTCTCGATTTATGACAAAGTCGTGATCACAACATACCTCGTTAGGGACAACCATTCTCTCCACGAAGTTAGGGAAATCTTTAATAAGAACATCTTTTATTAAATCCGGGTCCCTTAGAACTAAATGTGGGATGTGACCACTAAACACTCCGACCATCGGTTCACCCTTGAACTCGCGATAAGCTTTCACGAAACAGTCGTTCATTGAAATCCTTCCAAGATACACATCCTTAAAGTTTCCCAAAAATGGGATAGGTTTCGGTCCTTTCACGCCTCGTTTCTTCCAGTACTCCAAAATCGATGTGGAATAATAGTACAGCAAAATCAATATTGCAACAAGGAATCCAACAATCTCTAAAACTGACCACATCATTGTTGTAGATTTAAATTCAAATTCAACACTGACAATCAGCTACATAAAACACGTCATTTCTGTTACGCTGTCTACTTGCTAATGATTTACGATCTCGGTTGATACATGAGTAAGGTACCAGATCTAGCACTCCCTGTTTACAATCTCTTGCCTTGATCTTTCAAGAGGTGCAGTGTTTTTGCATTTAATCGCTATTACATCTGTGTTATTTATCGCGATGAGTCGTAGAATGTACACAATATCTTCCGTCTAGAATGTATCTATTTTCAACACTTCACTATGCCTCTGTTTGATACTATATATGGCACTGACAGTCATTCCAATCTCGCAATTTACGCAGTGTAGTGAATAATTGCATTTAAGTCGTATTTGAAATTGGCTTGCACTCGTAAAAGATGTGTGGACTGCTTAGACTGATTCTCTCATCGTATAAAAATTTTAAAATTTCAAAATTCCAAAGTACTAGATTACCAAGATTTCTCAATTTCCAAATTTCAAAATGCAAATCTTTCACGATTCTAACATTTCAAAATTCAAAAATTCTAAATCCCATAATTCCCGAATATCAAAATTCAAAAATACTAAATTCCTAAAATTCCACGATTCCTAAATTTAAAAATCCCACAGTTATCAAATTTTAGAATTCTGAAATTCTGAAGTTCTAAAATTACAATATGACAAAATTACAAAATTCATAAATTCTAAAATTATAAATTTTTGAAATTTCAGGTATCCAAAATTTCAGAACTCCAAAATTGTAGAGTTCCAGAATTTCAATATGTTTGTGAGGCCTTCTCATATGTTCTTACGTATTCAAATCTTTCCCTTTAAAATTATATTAATGATGCAGTACTAATTACAACGTAGTCAATTAATGAAGATTAGAAGAGAAAAATTTCATTAACTTTGTGACCTTAGGCTCGATGCAGACAAGCGACTTTTTGTCATGCGATATTGAACAAAAAAAGAACGATATAAGTACAATCGCAGATATATAACATAATAAAGTTGCCGACCTCCATCGAGCCTTATAAACGCATAGTCAGTAGCAGTGCATCGATATGACATTATTAGAGCAAGTTAGAAGTTTACATTTAGTTCTATCATTGTAACTCAATGTAAACGCAGGTTCATATTTATTCGATACCATTAAACCGATAGCTTTTGATCTCAAATAACAAATATTAATGTGGACGTTGAGTGGAGGGGCGAGAGGGTTACGTCTCCCCGGACGCCTGTAGTTCGGGCCGGGGACCGCTAGGTGGCGGCGAGAGGATCGGTGACAGTGTTCTCGCAAGCAGTCGCCTGGCATGCGGTTCGAATATATAGAAGTTCCGAATTCCGGTATGATAGGTATCTGGGGCAGGGATCGTCTGTTATCAGCTCCACTGACGAAGCTGACAGACGATCCCAAGACGAGAAACGCCGCCTTTTTCCGCCGGCATCAATACATTAATATAGGAATGTGTTATGCTTAATTTGAGAGGTAGAGTAAAAAGATAATCATCCCCCGCAGACTGTGCTGTGCAGCAGACATTTTCTATCGGCCGATAGTTTGGTCGGGTTGCCTTGTTAACGCGCACACTGGGCCAACTAAAATATCTCGGGTTGGTGAAAGAAGAAAAAAGGGTGGAAAGAGAGATATTGGGGGGATAGTGTTTAGTTTGAATGCAATCGTGTGTAGCCCATCAAACTTTATTTATCGGCCGATACCGAATCGTTGTAATATGCGCACTTGCATATATCTTCAGAACCCGACCAAACTATCGGCCGATAGAAAGTCTGCAGTCTGCGGGGACTCCAAAAGGAATAAATATTATAATTATATTCAAATTGTAACTATTTTATTTTTCAGTTTAAATTTCTGTTTGGCACCTTGTAAAATTAATGTGATATTACTTATTACCTCTTTATCGTTAAAATTTTGTAATCCGATGCTACTCAGGAAAATCGACGGATAGGCAGAATTTCTCCTTCTAAGCATTCCCCAGTTACTTAGAATTTTCTTTCAATTATTATATTACATATATTAAATTTGTAGTGCTAGTTACCAATAGCCTCCACAGTATTCAAAGTATCTCATTCAAAAAATGAAAAATGATGTAGAACGTTGAAGAAATCTAGTAGTAACACTAAATAACTCTACACGTACAAAAACCAAGAATAAAATACCAAATATGATTTTAATATAATATCTAGAAAATTAAGTTAACAATTTAATTAAACTCTTATTAAAAGTAAATAGAGTAATTTAAATGTTCACTATTTTGAGTATCATATTCAAGGTGTAAGCTCTTATTTCTTCATCCTTGGAAACACATTACAGGAAGTACGTTTAGACGCACGAAACAAGATATATAGCCTAATTTCCAGGACTGTGCTATAATCCTCACACTCGCAGGAGCGATTTATGGGGGGAACGAAGGAAGAAACAGAGACGTATAGAGGAAGAAAGAAGACACGAGTCGTGAACCAGGAATTCTCTGTTCATGATTCTCATAATACGATGATAAAGCCTGTGCTTTCTTCTTCCTCTAGCTCTATTAGATGAGAAGTTTGAAGAGAAGCTCAAATAGCTCAATTTAATTTAATGCTGCGTGGATCATGGCTGATTTAACCCCTTCGCCTATGATTTTTTCGATAGTTGCGTGAATCAGAGTTAACTATTCATTGCTTCCATATTAAAACAAATAAAGAAAAGTGAAATATCATGCATAGTTAGCATTCAACGATCCTTAACTGATGAATTAAACTCAAAATTCAACCATACTGAAAGTTACTAACCAAATTTGACATATTTGAAAAATGAACTTTTGTATTTAAATTATATTTAACCTTTCTTTTTTAATAGAAAAAAATGTTAGTGTCAAAGCATTTAATCAATGCTTAATTTGTAGTTATCACTTTATCAATTTCTCTACTTTTTGTTTTATGGAATCAATCATTTGCAGAATTGATTGATTCCACAAAACAAAAAGTAGAGAAATTGATAAAGTGATAACTATAAATTAAGCATTGATTAAATGCTTTGACACTAAAATTTTTTTCTATTAAAAAAGAAAGGTTAAATATAATTTAAATACAAAAATTCATTTTCTCAACTGAAAGATAGGCTTTTCAAGAATTAGTCTCAAAACAACATGGGTTTGATAAAATTGTAGAAAACACAAGATGCAAATTTGCAATATTAAGAGATTTTACTTTAAATATGTCCTTGAAATAGCAACAATTTAGTTCTTATTTTCTTATTACATGTTAGCATACATAAGAATTTAAAAATGTATTTTTTTAAATCAAAATTAAGAAAATTGTACAATGAAAGATTAACTTATATATTCGTTTATTAATATAAATGGCAACTGATAAAATCGGTATTAAGTATCAATAGTCCAATATTTATCATGATATTAGATTCATAATTAGATTATTACCCCTGTTGAGTTTTTTGTCACCAGATGAAAATATAAAATTCCTATAGGTACCAAATTTTTTTCCGATACTTATAATGTATCAAAATCAGAAGCAAGACTTGAATAAGATTTCAAAGGAAGCGGAGACATTTGTCATTTGATATCCACGAGATCGCATAAAAGATTCTAAAAAGAAAACTGCTCGACGTATCTTCGAATTTCAACGTTCCAGAGATTTAAAGCCAAAGGTGAAAACATAAAATATGCTTTTGGAAAGGCGAATTACGTTGAAACGATAAAGTTTGCTACGAGCTATCCCAAACGCCTCGTAAATTCCTGCACATGGTGAAAAGACAAAGCATTACGTGATTTTTCGCTGCTGATAATCGGTTAAAAGTTCTGGAATAAAAGTAGCGAGACTTTTCAGTGTAATTTTGCAGAGAAAGAAATTTAAAACTTCATAAAGTCTCGTTATGGATATCAAAGAGAAAGATTAAAAATTCATTCTATTTGAAAATTGAGAAATGTTCCATGAAAAATCAGATGCACCTTCTGTTCATATAAAATGATTTCAATCCCTGAACAGCGAAGTCTGGGTCAATCGAGACCCCAACTTACGAAACATATACAAGGATATTAACCTAAAGTTAAATGCATTACTTTTAAACGAAAGAGTTTCATATATTGGAAGAACAATTTTTCAAGGAACAGTGTTAAATTTAGAACATGAAAATAATATGAAATACAAAATTAAATTGAAATTGGGGCTCTCTCCATGGTCCGCCGTGCGAGGGTTAACGTATAAACAGTATTAATTAACTGTAATTAATATGGAAAGGAGACTTCTAATTTATTGCAATTTAAATTGTGATCATAATCTCTATACGTATGTAAATTCCTAACTGACTCATTAATTTACAATTAGAAACAATCAATGCCCAGCCGAAACCCCTGAACCTAGAAAGTTGAAATATTGAGAACTGCTTTTCCCAATACAGTACATCATAACATATTACAGTGTAATATACTGTAATATTATTATAAATATGTAATATTATGAAATGCATATTATATTATAATATTACTCTATATTATAACACATATACAAAATTATTCGAGTCGAGGAAGATGAAGTACATAATAAAAAATTCCGGAATATTTATCAAAGTACAATCATTTTTTACGTCAAATGTTTGAAACTCCTTTCTATAAGAATAAAGGAAGAAATTCAAATTACACTTTTATCCAAATTACCTGTCGATGATTAATAACTTAATTCATTGCACAATTATGTTTGTAACATATAATTATGTTTATCCCTTTTACACATACCTAATCATTATTTTCATTGTAACAAAAATATTATACAGAGCTTCTGGTAACTTCGTTTGGAAAAGAATCAAGAAAAATTGAACGTTGTCCAAAAGTGTAAGAAATATCGTGGATTTTCTACATGAAGATTTATTTTCGATGAAGTAATGACAGTTGCCATAAATATTCAATGATGAATAATTTTCTCGTGGTTATCAGACATACATTATTTTTATTACCTTTCGCTTCCGCTATTGATCTTTGCTACTGAATTTCATAAATTCCTTCATGAATATCATTTGAAACCATTTTCGTTCCTGATTTATTCAAAGACGTCTCTTTCAACGAAAAAGTTTATTTTCTAAAGGTTTAATCTA